CCTGGGCTTCCAGGGGGCTGTTCTACTACGCACAGGGTACCTTGGAGACGAAGGGCTCGATTTGTACCACCAAGGTTTGCGAGAAATCGCGCTTATAAGCGGCCTTCGACGTTTAGCCGTTTTTGTCAATTTCAAGGCGTTCTCATCTGAACCCTGGTGGTACAAATCCTCAGCTTGCAAGGGGCCGTTCTAATACCCGCCGGTTTCTTTCAGCAGAAGGGCACGATTTGTACCACCAAGGTTTGCGAGAAATCGCGTTTATAAGCAGAATTTGACTTTCAGCCGTTTTTGTCAATTTCAAGCCGCCCTCTCACCTAAACCCTAGTGGTACAAATCCTGGGCTTCCAGGGGGCTGTTCTACTAAACGCCGGGTACCTTGGAGCCGAAGGGCACGATTTGTACCACCAAGGTTTGCGAGAAATCGCGCTTATAAACGGAATTTGACTTTTAGCCGTTTTTGTCAATTTCAAGGCGCCGTCTCACCTGAACCCTGGTGGTCCAAATCCTGGGCTTCCAGGGGATTGTTCAACTACCTGCCGGGTACCTTCGAGCCGAAGGGCTCGATTTGTACCAATAAGGTTTGAGAGAAATCGCGCTAATAAGCGGCCTTCGACTTATAGCCGTTTTTGTCAATTTCAAGGCGCCGTCTCACCTGAACCCTGGTGGTACAAATCCTGGGCTTTCAGGGGGCTGTTCTACTACCCGCCGGGTACCTTGGAGCCAAAGGGCACGATTTGTACCACCAAGGTTTGCGAGAAATCGCGCTTATAAGCGGAATTTGACTTTGACTTTTAATCACTCAGACTTGGCTCGGCACAGCCAAGCGCCCAATACTACAATACCATTGCCAAAGTTGTCATACAAATGAATAATTAGTATGCAAAAAAAAGTAAAATGTATTACTTGTAATAAAATTCAAAAAGTAGAAGACTTATTTCCTGGTCAGGTACCTTTGGAACTCCAAAACTTATCCTTTGTTGAAAGGCAGCTTATTTCTAGAGTTCATCCTGTTGTATCTTTGTATAAAATTAAGAATTCTCAGTTTGGATATTCAGGTAATGTTATAAATTTCCCACAGGATGTCCAAGAAGTTGCTAACATTCTTCCTTTCTCTGTTAATGACCTTCGAAACAATATTACAATCAGATTAGATAATTCAGATGGATACAAAGACTTGAACGTCTGTAGGGGTAAAGTACGTGAAGCACTTCAATGGCTAAAGAATAATAACCCATTGTACAAAATTTTAAAAATATCTAATCAAAAGCTTAATGAATTACCTGAAAATGGAAATGTTTATAAAAGTATGAATGGATACACTAAGACTAACGCTGATGGCAATGTCGAAAGGATGCAGTCTTGCTTTAAAGAACAAAAATTAGAAGCAGAGCACAGCTTTGATGAAGATGAGGATGAACCACTAAATGACAATAACCTATATCATTCTGAAGATAGTGATAATGAAATTCCGACCATTAAATATACTGATGTACCTAATATTAAGACTTACACTCAAAAGGATCAAATTAATAGCAGTCTAAGTGGCTCTGTTTACCTTTGGCCTACGATTGGAACCACTCCTGTGAATGAGTTTAGTAGTCCGGGATACATTTCATTGGCATTTCCCACATTATTTCCTTTTGGTAAAGGTGATTATTCCATGTTACAAGGAAATAAGATTAAGCTAAGCACGTACGTTGATTAACTGATGTTTTTTGAAGATGGAAGATTCGCAAAAGATGAGCGATTTAGGTATTTCATCATGAATTCAATGATGAGATGGAATTCCTTAAACTTAGGTAATATTTTTGTAAAGAAAAATGATTTGTTTAATAAAATGACAGTGTTACATTTGCAATAAAACAAAATAATGTTTTATGCCAATAAAATAAGGTCAACACGTCCACACTGTTAAAAATTTTGGGGGAGATTTTACAGAAAAAGTCTAGGTATACTTAGTGCCAAGTAAAAGTCTGGTAAAATTACCATAGTCTGTAAAATTACAGACACTTTTAAAAATAACTCCACAAAATTTCTGTAAAACTAATACCAAATATTTCTGTAAATATATTTACGAATGTTTCCTGTAATTTTTACCCA